AAAGTGACTTACAGTGTTTGTGCAGATTGGGCTCTTAATTCACTTGAAATAATCAAGATGCTCACAAACTTACAATGAAATTGTCAGATATGAAATAATAAGTTGGCAGAGGAATTTCCACACTGTCTACATCTATGAAACATTTGTTTGGATCATTCTGGACCCATGTTCCGTGAACCATTTACTCTCCAGAGCTGCTCTTGCCAGGTGCTGTTTTGAGGGAGGCTTCCAGGTCCGATCCTCCTGCTGCAGTCTCATGGGAGTGAGTCAGCCTATCCGGATGACATAGATACTAGGCTTTTACGGCAGTCCCCTGATGATCCTGATATAGTTATAAACCTGTGCATTTCAAAAGTAACCTCACATTTGAGGAGACCAACAATTCCTGTTTAGCCAGTGCTACCTATCATGTGATGTTCCTGAACATACCCAGGTCCAAGTTGCAGCTCTGTCATGTTCTATTGGTCATTATTTGTTCCTGCACCTGGGTGAGATCGTTTTCGTTACTTTGACTTTGTAGCATATTCTAATGTCTGTAATGAAGCTGAAGAAACTACTTAAAAAGGTAGCTGCAAACTACTTTGATATTTGCTCAGCTTTCCCAATGGGATTTTCACTTAGTGAATCTGCTACTCAGGTATCTGCTATGCATATGGATTCAAAAGTGGGTGATCACTTAATGTGAGCGACTGAGAAAAGCAGGTTGGAACCAGTGACTCAGTTATTCCAGACTACCAAGAAAATAAGATTGGAAGACATAAACCAAGGAAACTTTACAAGGATTGAAGAGATTGGCACAGGACCTCTTTCAGAGAAAGCCTTGGGTTCAGTAGTGTATGTTAAAGAAAGTGATGGGATAGAAATGATAGACGTGGAATGAAGTAATTTGCACGTATTACCAAAGAAACCAAAAATTGCTTTTGGTTAAGGGGGTATTGAAAGAAAGCTTAATCTTATTAGGAAAATATAACAAGATGAAGGCAGACTATTGCTTTATTTTTCACCATTTATGAATCATCTCAGGCTACATTTTTTG